AGGACACAGAGGGAACAAAAAAAAAGATCGAGATCGCCCCAGAAATGACCAGATTTATATATACAGAGCAACAACATGCAAGGGCCATTACACGCAACTGAGGCAGATGGAAGAGCACCCAAAAAGAACAAGAGATATTTACTCCCCTTCTGTTGGTCATGACTGCAAGGTGGTGGAGTTTCTGACCAGCCCTTTTTGCTGCCCTTCCAGGAATCTCCAACAGTTTTTGTTTGTTTGATTGATCTTCCTGCAGCTAAACAAATAGCTCCACCTTACTGGCTTTCCAAAAGAGCCCGTAGGCCGATGTTCCTCAGAATCTGCCCAGTAGGGAAATCAATACAAAATTACCCTTTATTTTCAGCAAAGAGAAAGCATCTTCTCCAGGCTCTTTTGCCTACAAACATCCAGAGAACAGAAGGAAGAGCATGAAGAGTATGTTAGAAAGCAGCCTGGCTCTACTTTGGGGCCATTGCACGTGGGCTTTCTGTGAAGGACAAAACCTGTCTGCTCAGACTGAGCTGCACATAGTGTCATAACCAGAAGGGTAAGAGCGAGCAAACCCAACCAGGGCAGAAGCAGGCAAGTGGCCCCTGAAGATGAGCAACGTGGGCTACGAAGGCTGAATTGAGGTTTAGGATGGAGGGGAGGGCTGCGAGGTGAGTGTGGAAGACACAACTGTCCTATGCTTGATGAAGGCAAGACCAGAGTCTGCCTTGGTTTCAGTGCCAAGGACCAAAGCCACTCCAACACAAGTGAGAAGCAGAGGAATGGCATGGCCGGGGACTTGGGATTGGTTCTGAAAGGAGCTGCAAAAGGACATGGGAAGACGTGGCAGGTGGCACTGGGGGTGGGAGCTGAAGCTAAAAGGGGAAACAGGGTTACTTCACCTTCATGACATGTGCTCTGTTCAGGAGACCCCATGGTAACAGAGGAAGAAGATGATGGCCAGGGCACAGTGGAAGGGTACACAGCACTGGCCAACCTGCAGCCTGGCCAGGACACGCAAAACCCGAAGGTGGGCCTGGCATGCCGGGCCCATCGTGTAAACAACAGCACTTGCACTAAGCGGAAGTCTGAAAGGTGGAAATGAAATGGGCTACCTCCCAAGTCTGAGAACACCACAGACATCTCCATGGAAAGGCTGTCAGAGCAAGGGTTTGCTGCTCGAGGTCAGGCTCAGCAGAGTTGCCTCAAGCTTGCTACTTCAAAGAGAGAAGGCATGTGGGACAAATGGTGCTGGGTCACAATGACTCAGGAGCTGCAGCATTTTCCACAGGGTACTCAGCAGTGCTCCACAGCCCATCTTTCAAGATGAAAGGTACTTCCTCCTCAGTCTCAAAACCAACGCCCCGAGCATTTGCTACTTCTGAAAACATAGGAGCCCCTACCACATCCTGGAACATCATGAGCTCTTACTGCAAATGCCAGCCTGCATCTCCAGTGCTCTGGAAACAACTGGGAATACGTTCTTTCACACAAGACACATGGGAAAAGCTCTCAGGAGTTTTAGCAACCTTAGATACAAATCAAACACGGCACAAGACTGGAAACCCCTCACAAAGCACAACAGCATCCCACGTAGAGTGGGATTGTCCCCACTGACCAGTGCCAGACAAAGGAGACTGCTATCACCAGGGCAGCATCAGTCCTAAGGAAGGACTTGGTGCCTAGTGGTGCCTCTTCCAGGAGTAGCAGCCTGTCCTCAGGAAGCTTACAGGACCAGTTCTCCTTGAAATTCATAAGCAGAGCTACTTCTGTAGTACCACCACCATGCCCAGTACATGCTGGCTGCACAGCCTGGGGTGGGAGCGAGCCCGGAGGGAGGCCAGGCAGCCCTTTGCAATATAACTGGGAAAACTGGAATAAATCTTGCAAACAATGGTACTGCTCCCCAGGACAATGAAGAATAGTGCAAGGAGCAGTTCAGATGATGAATACACATCTTAATGTGCCACCTCTGAAGGGCAACAGCCACCTTGACGACATCCCCACGTTCAGCCCTGGGAGAGGCTGCCTGTGCTCACAGCCTGAGCTCTCCACTGCCACCGGGTAGGACTGCCCTCCGGTGCGTGGCGTTAATGAAACCACTTCATCCCAGGCCATTCCTGTGTTATTTGCTGGGTTTGAAGCTCTCTGGAGACACATAAAATAGAAATGTTTTGAGATTTCTATATTCTCAACCGTTAAATAACTTACAAATGATCACCATCTCTGGGAATCGTCTTCTAGCTTACGCCAAAATGGCAAATATTTCAACAAAAATCAGAGTCTGAATGTCCCAGTAGTGTTTAAACAGCCAGGATGGACGATTCCTGTTCATCCCTCTGCCACGTGTGCGTTGGAGAGCTGAGGAGCTCAGCAGTAAGCAGTATGCCACACGTGTACATCGGGGAGCGTACGGCAGGGACATTCCCGAGCAGGTTGTCCCCTCCTAAGAAAGATGGAGAGCAGTTTGTCGGGTTTCGTATTTTTAGCAGGTTTAGAAAAACCTGCCCAAGTTATTTTTGAAGCCTGTGGTATGTTTGCTTACGAAAGCGTCCCTGCAGACTGTCAATATTAAGTCAGCTTAAACCCAACCCGTTCCCCGGGGACAGGGCAGAAA